TCGGGTCTGAATCGACTCCGGTGTGACGGTGCTGGATTTCGCATTTGGACCAAATCCTCCTCTTGCAGCATACAATACTTGAGTAGGAGAGATTACTTTGGAGAGGGTATTTCCCATCCTTCCTAAGAAGGCTTCCTCCTGGATGATCCGGAAACAAACGGTAAGTAAACTGCTTCGTGCCTGGACAATCATCTGTCCGAAGGAATACTGACCTGTACGTTTGTTATAGCGGCATTGTCATTCTGACTTTCTCCCGCTTTCCAGACCTGCTCATCTCCATAATGACTGCTATCATCCTATTCCTGCCGAACCACGTCAGGTGGGTGTCAGAATCGTCGACTGTGGGGTGATATCTCGCGTGGCCAGATGAAGCTGCAGGACAGGCGGCAATTGGAGCACTTCACCATTGATCTCTGCAACAACAGTGGCAATGACATTCCTTGGCCAATCAAGGTGCGCTTCCCACTCAGAGTCTCCAAGTTTCTGGAAAATCCCTTGAGCCCACTCGACGGTGCCCTGCAGCACGCGTACGCGACTTACATCCGCGCGATGTGGCCATTCTTGCGTGGCGAGAGGAACCATCAACAACTGGACGCCCACGAAATAGGCAAGAAGAAGTTGAGCGACAAGATTGTTTGGGTCCAGGAAGGTCTTGAAAGAGTCGTGGCATAATTCATACCATACACCGTACACGCCGATGAACTGTATGTAACCTGATGCCGGCGATGCTTGGAGCGAGGTGATTACATCGACGAGCGCCTCGTGAAAATCTATCTCAGTGCCACCGGTCAAAAAGGGTCGAACTCCCTCAAGGGCTGTGTAGGCATCTTGTAGCAAGAGGGGGTCAACGGCTGGCAAGTTCTGCAGCCGTGGCGCCATGTATTTGAAGTGCCAGTCTGGTTGCAGGTTAAATGCTGTAGGCGAGTGCTCTTGTTTGATTTTCTCGGTTGTAAGGGCGCATCCTCGGACCATGGTGATGAAATCGGAAAGACCATCACTCATGTAAGAAGCTTGAAAGGTAAGGGCGTAGCAAGAGGCGAGCATGGCGTCTGCTTCTCCGTAAGAACGCGCCGTCTGGCTCAGTGCGTGATTGAGGCCAGCAATAGCCTGACCGCGATGAATTAGAGATTCTCGTCGATAGTCAACGCCCGTGAGGCGACTGAGGTGGGAGGCCCCAAGCGAAAGCAACGCATGCATCAGGTATTCGTGCTGTTCAGCAAATTGGGGAATGTCGTTGACCCAGACATGGTCGTTGTCAACTGGCAGGTGTGGATACGCGATGGTGAGAAAGTGATGGAAGAATCGCATGTCCAGGATCGAAAAGGTGGCAGCTGGAAAAGATGGGGAAGTTGTGGGATTCCGCCTTATCAGCGGCAAATTGCTAGACTTGCGTACTGCCGGCTCTGTTGGGTAGACGCAACTGAGTCCTTTCATCAAACAACTCCCGCACGCGGGTTTTGTTTCGGAACATTTGATCTTCCTTTGCTTACAACTAAAGCAGCCTCCGCGGGACTTCTTGTGCGATCGTCGCGTCAGATTGGGAGCCAGGGTACGAGTCTTTTGGTGGGTGTTGCGTCGCGAACCATTACTTGCCGGTGTGGTTGCTTCTGGAGAGAGATCCCATGAGGCTATCGACGTGATATCTGTGGAAGCATCGGTCGAGATACTGTTATCCAAAGTCATGATCGTGTATATGGTTAGCAGGTAGTTTCAGGACATTTTGGGGGTTGCTGGAGTGTTTTTGGGCATAGGGAGCGATGTTAAAAATTGGGTCATATTGAGAAGTCGGTAACGAGTGTAAGAATGGAGCCCCGAGACAGCTTCGGGTATAGTCGGCCAAGCAACGAGGCAGACACGGGCCTTCTCAAAGTACTAACTAGGGGCATGCTTTGTTTTGGTGTGAAGTGACTGCGGTCAACATGAACAAATCGTCGAATAGTTGATTCCATGGCCCTGGTACTGGACAGGGGATCAGCATGCAACGAAACGTTTCAGCCTGGAGCCAGATAAGTCCAAGCCCTAGAAACACGAGAATGTGACGCAAAAGCGTTTGGTCAATCCAATGGGAAAATTCCCAGAAGTTCGCAGGGTTCTAGAGTACGCCCTTCCCGACTGCAGCACATGTCGATTGGGGGCTGTGACTGTGCCAGAGGGTAGTGGAGGGTAGAGTACCCGCAATAATAATTGTATGAGGGAAAAAGGAAAAGTAGGGGGATTGCGCTTGGGTATCGCTGGCCCTGGTATTGGGGTAGGACAAGGGTGAAAGCGTTATCCATTTTGGCGATAGGAGGTGAACCCGGGGTATCGGGAGCCAAAAATAGCGAACGTCTTGTTTGTTCTGTCGTATTGACAGCCCTACCAGAAAGAGGTTAATGCCATCGACAATCATTTATCATCTGGGACGAAGCCAGGCAGAAGCGGAAGGCATAGGAGAAGGATCCACCCGTGGCACGAGTATTTCCAGGGAGGCAGCTGGTGGATGAGTCTTCCGACAAGATGATCGGCGCACGACATCGCGAGTCTTTTTGTGTAGGGAGGGGTCATCAGCAGAGTCACGAGGTAACAACCAAGTGAGTGATTGAGAGATTTCGGTACAATATCTCGCCGTTTCTTCCCGGGAATCTTCTTGGGATACCACCGTCAAGACGTCAAGACCGATGGGTTTCTTGGTAAACCGCTCATGTTTGACCACGATGGAATGTGGGAGGGAGAGGACGAGACAGAGGCAGACTAGCCGAGGTCAGGGACCTGGATGTAGTTAGTTGACGTTGCACAGTCAGCGATCACCCAGAGAAATGGTGGGTCGAACCTTTTGTTCTTTCTGCGCTGATTCCATGTGCGATGGTGAAGGAGGAGTTTTCTGCTGAGAAGATGAAGGTGAAGAAGGTGAAGACAATTTAAATGTAGACAGGATGAAGAAAAGAGAAGGTCCGAGTGCAGAGGAAGCTGTTGCCTTGCAGTCTATGACGTCGCTAATGGTTCAGTGCCTGCGCCAGCTAAAAAGTGGCCGCTTGATGCCTTTCGCTTGTCACTGAAAAACTGCGCTTCAGGTCATGGCGGCACCAGCCCAGCGGTGCCTGTTCTCGCATCTGTCGCAGTCCACTTCTTGCCACTAACGTTTGTTTCTGTCGAGTTTCGTCGGTCTAGAGTGTGCTTTTCCGCCCCTTCGAGTCATAGCATTGCGGTAGAGCTCATTGGATGATCCTTGTACCACGCTGCGATGGACATTTCGACGCGAGCCCTCGTCAGGCTCCTCCTGCCCCGTCTGCCTTTGCTGCTCAAGACGATCGTCCTCAATACACTCAATTTGTCGCCTAATTCAGCAAAGCAAGATCTGACAACAGAGGTGGTTGTGGTAATACTGCGGTCCATCACGAGGGTCAGGAAGCCCATGAGATATCTACAACACATCTCCACGAAGGATCCTGGAATCAAAGGACCCATATGCATCGCCAAAGTGACCATCCCACCCCCGCTTGACGAGTTCGGCCCTAGAGAAGCTGTTGTGAAAGCCATCAAAGAGCTTGGAAATGGCAGCGAAACATACACTTTGCCCGACATTGTGGGCGTGGAAGCCGAATGGACTGGCTACAAGAAAGGCGCATCTGCCCATGAACCTAGACCAGATGTATCTGAAGACGACCATTATAGAATTCTGATGGCCACCGTTTCGACCCACACCACGATTTTATATTTCCATGGCGGAGCCTATTTTCTGATGGATCCGGCATCGCATAGAGAGCCTGTGTCGCGCCTTGCACGGTTGACAGGAGGTCGCGGCTATTCTGTGAGATACCGTCTAGCCCCTCAAAACCCTTTCCCTGCCCAATTGCTTGACGGATTGGTGGCGTATTTATCGCTTCTGGCACCTCCCAAAGGTCTGCCGCATGACCCTGTACCTGCAAAACATATCGTGTTTGCCGGAGACTCTACTGGAGGCAACCTCGCCGTGGTCTTGTTGCAGCTCCTCCTGACACTGCAGAGGACGGGCGTGAGCAGCATCAGATTCCATGGAGTCGATGTCCCTGTTGAACTGCCCGCGGGCCTTTGCCTCAACAGTGCGTGGGCCGATATATCTCATTCAATGCCTTCCATAAACAAAAATGCTCATCTGGACTATCTGGATCCACCAAATGCAGAAGGAGTGTCAAAGGCTGACCCTCTTCCGGACGATTTGTGGCCGGCGAGTCCTCCTCGAGCAAATATCCTATGCGACGCGTCGATCATGGTCCATCCTCTCGTGTCACCTCTCGCTGCTGGTTCAGATCTCTGGAAAGGTATGCCACCAGCATGGTTGTGCTTGGGAAACGAAGGCCTAGAGGACGAGATCACCATCCTAGCACGCAGGATGCACCAGGCCGGTGGAGTGGTGGATTTCGTGGGCTACGAGGGGATGCCGCACTGCTTTGCCATGTTGTTCCCCAAGACCCCGAAAGCCAGGGATTGTTTCGAGCGCGCGGCAAACTTTTGCACCGCCGTCGTCGACGGCGGCGGGCCAAAGACGAGCAGATTCGTCTGGGTCAAGGCGTTTTCGAAACCGTCAAACATTCAGGAGCTAGGCCCGGATCAGCTGAGCAAAATCAGTGACGAGGAGGTGACGGACGCCATGAAGATAATGCAGAACCACGCAAGGAAGAGGGAGGAAGAGGCCTTGCAGAGGTGGCGCGAACAGCAGACCAGGGCCAAGCTATGAAGACGTTGATGGGTTTATATCCCTTTTTCCCCGGAGGTAGGGCCGTCCACGACTCTGCTTTGCTTGATGAATACATGCGAGGTCTCGAACGAGTCTCGACCTCGCTGAACCACGGACGCACTACTAGCCTATCTTTCTCGGGCGTTGCAGAGAGCTTTAGCTCTTGCTTCTCCATGACGCTTTATATATGGTTGTCCTTGGGGTATAAAGGGTCAACCAATAATGTCTATGATAGCCTCTGCCCGTCTCCTGCCTCCCTGTCTATCTGCATGTTTGTCTATGGTCATTTATTTGTACATTATAGCACTCACACAGCCCGCGCACAGGTACGCGTGTGGCGCGGGTGCTCGAAGCGGAGGAGACACATGACAGCGCAGGCTAGGGCAGCGGCTACTGCGACGACGTCGTAGGGCAAGCCGAGCCAAGGGCCGGCACCGCGCTCGAGACCGGCATTAAACAGGGCGGCCGTGACCGGGTAGGCGAGCATGACGCTGAGGGTCTCTGCGATGGCGAGCACGGAGAAGACGCGGCCCTGGTCGTGGGCGTCGATGAGCGCGGCGGCCAGGGCGCGCAGCGTCGCGGGGAAGCCCGTCGACAGCGTCTGGAGCAGGAGGCCCGCGACCATGATGACCGGGTGCGGCGCGAGACCGATGACGGCAAATGCCACGGCCAGTACCAGCAGCGACGCCCGCGACAGGACCACATTCTTCTGCACGGCGCTGAGCGCGTACCGCGCGTCGATCCTCGCCGAGAGGCGCGGCAGCGCCGTGAAAAGCACCAGGCCCGCCGCCACAGCCTGCAGGGAGTAGACGAGCGTGGCGTCCGCGAGCGTCCAGCCGTACCGGTCCGACACGTACCGCTGGAGGAGGTCGCTCAGGGCGTCGCAGATCAGGCGGAACGGGTGGGCCAGGGCGACGAAGACGAGGCGCCAGTCGCTCCAGACCTTGGCCAAGCGAGACAAGTGCACTTTTGAGCGTCGCCAGCTGCTATCACATTTGGGATCTATCGACCTTGTAGTGGCCTCGTCACCATGTACCCTGGATCGTCCGTCCCGTGCAGCAGCAACTTGCCAGTGTAGGGTTTCTGGGACGGTAGTGACGACGATAACGGTGATGACTAGTAGCGCAAGTCCGAGGTAGATGGCGAGCCACGGATCACGCCGCATAAGAGTCGCTGCGAGGACGGGTCCGATGACCTTGCTGAAGTAGCTGAATGCGGTTGAACGGAAGAATGTCTCGACTCTGCCCCAAACACGGTTTAGCTACAAAACGTCCACTCAGGATCAACACAGCCCTCAAAGCTCGACAACATACACTCGGTCACTCGAACTGACGTCGGTCAGGATACACTGTGGACCCATCAGTTGTGTGCCTATGCAATCCCTTTTGCGCGAGGAGAGCTTACCACAAAAAGCAACTCTGTCACCATGACTCCACCACTCACAAGATTGAGGCCTGCGCCCAGCCAGATGGCGCGAAGGGGTATTTGGCCGTTGAACCAGGTGACAAAAGTAGTCCACACCTGTGTCAGGCACAGGACGGTAACGTTGAGGATCAGCAGGCGTCGTCGACCGATGGTGTCGGTGAGGATTCCCATTGGGATGCTCAAGAGGAGACCCGGGGCCGCGGCGAAGAATTCGTACCACCCCTTGAGTGTAGATATCTGTGTCTGGACGGGGCCTATCTTGCAGTATGACTCTGGGATCTTTCCAGATGGCGGGAACGCATTGCTGGGATGCCGGCGGTACCATTGGGAGCAGTAGATGGTCTCATAGATCTCGGTCTGAGCAGGAGCCAGGATCTGGAATGCGAGATTGGCGCAGAACACGACGGCGTAGAATTTTGCGAGGAGTCTGGATTGATTCCTTGAGCTCCCATCATCGCCCCTACTGTCGAGCGAACTGCCCAGCAATGGCGCGGATTCAATGTGGTCTTCCTCACGGCTGTTCCCGCATTGAACATGGCCGCCAGTCGACATGGTGCTCAAGAGGACGACACGACCACAAGCAATCGTATCAATGGAGGATGCCTCGCTGCAAGGAGCGGGCTCAGGTTTCGAGGAAGAAATTGAAGATGCCTGATGAGGATCATTGAAGGAGGGGGCCAGGGGCGTATATTTCTCAGTTTGAAGAAACGCTGCAGCCTGGCATGCATGCACGGGTCAAAGTTGAGGTTCCATCAACCAACCCACAGGCTGGCTGGTATATGGACGAGTCGGAGAATTCTGACGACATCTAGAACCAATACTCAACTCACGTCCGCCATTGTATGATTGGAGTATTTTGTTTGACGGAGAAGAAGGCAGAAGGGAGAAGGGGGAGGGAGATAAAAGAGGACTCGACCTCAATGGGCAGGTAAGAAACACCCACCTGAGGAGGTCGCTAAGCAGTGGACTATCCACTCGTCCATTTAACAGGGAGATGAGCGGATATGTAGAACCTCTCCTAGTTGTCTCAATTCATGTACAGCACTCATCGATTGGGCCGGGATGGTTGGGGGTGATGCAGACAAAAGTACGGAGGATTGATAGCTGGGGCTCGGATAAACATCCATGAGGTATGTATAATTATGTCAGAACGAGGGGCTACGAAAGCATCATGGTCTGATGGGGCACCAGTCAAGTCAAGCTTTTTGGTGTCCAGCGGAATAACTGACAAGGAATATAGCATCTGATCTCACTGTGTCTGCTTAAATGGACATTAATTACCATGTACTACTGAGTACAGCCTCAGTAGCCTCTGATTGGCAAACTGAGGCTCGTACGGTTCAATCTCGGATCAGCTCATCCTTGGATGTAAACATATACTGCATGACTGATATCTCCAATGTAAAAAGTCGCCAGATCTAGAACCGACTCCATTTGCTCTTCGCTCTAATTCGCTTGCCAAACACAAAAAACACAAACGGGACGGGTATCAGGGCAATGGCAAAGAACCCAAATATGCTCGTGCCCCATGGAACTCCGACATTATGGTATAAAGGAGTCACGACGAGCGGAAACCTGCCATAACATCAGTACCGGGTTCACCATCTCACATCGTGACAATGGAAAATACGTACGCTGCAGCAAAGCATGATCGCAGAAAGGTGTTGGCCGCCACGGCACTGGCAGCATATCTTTGGAATGTGTCGACGAGGTAGTTCAGCGCCGCTTGGAAGATGGTGAAGAACCCAAGACCGGTCATGTACAGCCCGATCACCGGGGCAATCCACGGGAACTTGGGGTCGGATGTCCACCCGGTGATGAAGAGTCCAGACGAGAACAGAAAAGACCCAAACATCATGGGGGGTAGACGCAACTCGGGCGCCACTTTGCCTCCGGATTTGCGGTTATATACCAGCTGGTTGAAGATATTGATGACCGCCCCAGTAATGGCTCCCACGAGAATTGCCAGGAACGGAAGTTCCGAGGGGAGTAGTTTCCAGCGACGGTGCTCGCCAAAGATGATCGGGATGGCGCCTGTTCCGTTGGTCAGTCTTCACTCGAGGAACCAAAGAGACAAGATGCTTACCAAGTTGCATGTACAAAATCCCATAGCAAAAGCTTGCATAGAGAGCCACGAGGGCGCAAATGGGGGTCATCAACAACTGGAACGGCCGGATCAAGAACTACATCTGGTCAGCGCACTGCGAGTGGTCATAGCGCAAAAAGCAATTGCTCACCTTGTTCGCCAACTCCACCACAGACACATCCCACTCCTCAAACTTGGCGTGAAGAGCCCAATTCCCACTTTGGTGTCGCAGCCTCCGTGCCTTGTAGACCAGAAGTCGGGGAGGATACGACTCGTCCAGGAAGATGACATCGAACACCAAGATAGCCAGCTGGATGATTCCTGTAATATACTCGGTCCATCGCCACCCGAGGCTGGGCTGGACTACAAGAGCGGCGCCCACGATGGGTCCAAAAACCGGGCCAATTACCACGGCCATCGCGTAGGATGCAATGGCAATACCTCTCTGGGACGCCGGGAACAAATCACTTAGTACGCCTCCAGTGTTAGTGACAGGCGCAGAAGAAAAGAAGCCCGCAAAGAATCTTGTGATCATGATGGTCTGAATGTCTTTGGCCGCGGCAGTCCCGAATGAAAAACAGGCAGAAACGAACATGGGCGGAAGGACAGCATTCTTGCGGCCATAGACCTCCGAGAGTGGTGCCCAAAGCAGAGGCCCAATACCGAATCCAAGCAAGAAAAGCGTTGTTCCCAGCGTCGAGACCTGGGTCCCAACATGAAAATCACGGGCGACCTGCTGTGTCCCTGAACTGTAGCTACTGCTCGCCCAAGTGGCGGTCATTGTGGTAAAGCCGTACAGGGCAGTCGTGATGACTTTCTTCTTCATAGTCCAGTTGACAGGCCTGTACGGGTCATCAGCGCCCTCAAAGTCGACTAGGTCTTCAACCGTCGTCTTCTGATGCTCTAGCGGATGGGTGAAAGTGCCAATGGGCGGCCTTGACCTGATCCGCGACAAAATGGTCTCTCTTCGAGACATTGTTCTGTTGAGACTGACCGACCGACCTGTCGCGATGGACGCAGCCGCCCGGCCGCGGCCCTCCTGCGACTTTTCCTCGTCAGGGTCGAGATCGCCATAGTCAGAGTTTGTAGTTTGACGAGAGAGGTCTGAAGTCATAGTCTCGGTCGGCGACATGGCATGGTCGCGCGCGTGTGTATTAGCCATGGATAGTCTGTGTTATGTGCCTTGGTGGCCATTATCACCAATATGTACGTTAGACAGCGCGATGTAGGATGACGGGTGGTTTTATGGTGATAGACCATGGATAACGAATTCCGATATCGCCGACGTCATGTTGAGACGAGGAATGGGAATCCCAGCAGAAAAAGAAGCCGTCTTTGCCGATCCTGACTGAGACGGAGATACCCAACTCGACTGGTTTCAGGTAAACGTATGTACGAGGCATAGGCGGTGATGGTGTGTTGTATGGGGAGTGGCCGGCATCTATTCCTTACCAAGCAGCTCGCATTCCACAGCTCGCATCTCGTTAACTCGGCACAAGACTTGCTCGGTGTTGTGTTTGTGTGGCGCATTCAAAACCGGCGTTAAAAATCGCCGAAAACGGCCCTGTTTGCCTTTTCCCCTGCGCCATTTATTCTTCACTTCACCCCGTTTTTCTTTTTGCCTTTTCCCATTCCCCTCATTCCGGGTAAATTTTCTTTCAGCGGTCGCTCGTCTCTAGCCCCGATCTTCGGCGCCGTAGATCTCGCACAACTGTCAAAGGCGCGACGCGTCAACACCTCACTTATCCTCACCTCCTGAAATCGCTCCTTGACCGCAAGAGTCGCCCCCTGTAGCGAACACTGTTCGGTTATGTGGACCACTCACGAGAAGGCCTCCGCGTCCTCATACTATACAGAGTTGACTCACCGCTCATGTCCAAGTCTACAACGCGCTCTCCTTTACCTTCCTGCCTATTCTCTATACCCGCTACGGCTAGGGAGTGAGGAAATTCTGCAGGTCGAAAGAGGCAGGACAGGCGGTTTGAATGAACCCGATAGCGTGTGAGAGCATACGGTCTTCAGCTTCTCGCCGCTGTCTTTGCCAGAGCACCCCTGTTACGTTCATCGACTGGCATTGACAACTACAGACTCCATGCCTGGGTATTGTCGTTGGTACGTCTTCGCTTGCTACTTGCTCCTCTGACACTAGCCCTCCTTCTACGCCTCTTTCATCCTCCATGGCTTCACAGCAAGCGTAGACCTTCTCGAGGACGGCTTTCAAGTTCATTGGTTTTCACCATCGTTGATTGCCAGACACAGAAAACTCCGCCGTATCGAAATTCATGGTGTGATGTTTTACGGCTGGTTACAATGTTGAAGATTGTCACGTCACTTCCCTCTTCAATAGTGGTCTGATGAAACCTCGCTACTTTTTCACCGCCAGTAATGGTAGACCACGCCGATGATATTACTTGATTCTTCTACAAGTAGACAAAGTAAAGACAAACTCCCCCTTTTGCGCGCAGCCTGATTTCACTAAACCACAACGCGAACATGAAACTTATTCTCAGAATCGGCCACGCCATCCACCACCTGTACTCGCGACGAGGCCTTAATCTAGTAGATACTTGTAGGTGTAATTGGACCTTCGTATCCGCCAACCCATCCCAACAAGACCAAACAATACCTTTCCTTTTGTTGCCAGGCTGCACCGGCCAAAAGCCTTTCGGCTTCGGTCTTCGGTCTTTCGGCCCAATATACCGATAGAGCGAGCCTCTTGAGCCTCGTCCCATGCGGTGTGCGTCAGAGAAACATATTATGCTCATCTGAGAGAGAGGAACCCTATAGGTAAGGAGGGAGTTTTCCGTAGAAGATCAAGTACATCTACTAGTAGAATGAGACTCGAGTCGGCGATGAAATAATCCCCCAAGGGTCAGTGGTACGTTGCGGCTCTGAGACCCCCTCACCTGAGTTGCCTTCTGCCTCTGAGAACTTGAAAGTGAGCTCGGACATAACCAGGTCATTGCAAGATCCATACTGAACGACAGTAATGTGACTAAGATGCAGAACAATTCGAGGGGCAGTTGAGGTTGTGGTCTGAACATCGAATAGAAGGAGTTGGATTATGAACAAACAAACTTGGGGGCGAAGGGAGACGAGCCTTGGCGTTCGCTCGCTTGACGACGTCACGCACCTGAGCTTCGTTTGTGGTTATGTCAACCACTGGCTCCCAGTCACACAATATTATATCTGAATATGGATTTCCATTGATTCAGGGAGACAAAATGAATCTAGGACTTAGGAGACAAGTTATCAACGTATACAAAGGTAGGACAAACACTAGAACTTATACCAATCTGTTGGTCAAGCTCCTCAACTGAGATTACTTGCAGAGTTGCTGGAAATGGGCAGACACTACCCGCTGGGCTACGACTATTTTAGACCCAGGTTGCACAAGGCATTCATGTCCAAGGCTCATCTGACAGACGAGGAGCAGATACGTCAAGGGATCAAGCGAGCGGAGTTCGTGAAGAAGGAGATTGAGGCGCTCTACTTCCTGAAAAAATACCGAACGATAAAGCAACGATATTCCTGAAAGATCTGTGTCCATCGAAGCCATCGAAGCAACAGATGATCTGCAGGAGCTAAGCGGTCGCTGAAGAAGACAACTCCTCCCATGTAACAAAGAGTCCCTCAGCAAGACGCTACTCAGCTCGACATTTCGACACTACAAGCAAGAGCTCACTGAAAGGACGTCGTTCCTACTAAAAGAGTCATAAACAAGTCTGAGGAGCTATTCGAGGCACATAGCGTGCATGACCAATGGCTCCAAACTCACGGCGACATGCTGATATCTGGGGAACCTCGGGAACCTCGTTAAGCCAGTGCTCTGAACCCAGCCGTTATGGCTGTGCTTGGACCCACAGGCGGCTTACGGGTTGAGATTATCGACAGACACAGCGAAGCTTGTAGTAGTCTGGACCACTACCATAGACTGTGGTGGTCTTCTGTGGGAGATGGCGTTATCGAGTGACCGAGGAGGACTACTGGCACGGTCAGATATCCTATGTATGGACTTTTTGTGAATTAGGTCATTTTGTATAGAGCCTTGTTATTAGATGAACGAATGGGAACAGACATAATAAATAGAGTGTACTCTTTGTAAACAACCCTGGTAATCCTGGTGCACCTTGAGGCCTTGGGATGACAAGGACAAACACTGAAACGACGCCAAGATATCGAGACCAGCGCAAGGGGCCATTCGGATGTCTTAGCCCCCCGGAAGCACCAGCAAACCACCCAGTCAGGTGCAAAGGGCAAGCAGAGGGCGACTTGTGGTGCTCTAAGTCCTATCCCACCCACCCTGAACGACCCTCTCCTGCGCAAATCAAACACCTTTTGACACTCGCTCAATTCACCATCTTCATTGATATCTGTGCCGTATATCAGCTCAATATCCAATCAGTCAAACACCACACAGTATCTTCACCAGTGCCTGCGTGACGACAATCCGCGGCGTTTTCATCCGCTGCCGTACGATCTGTCCTCAAGCTTTCCCTTTGCTCAATCTTTATCCCTCTCCCAAACCACCGCTTCCTCATTTTCCTCGATCGAACGCTACGGTGCCGACTCCCCTAAACCCTCTCGCGCTGCGACAATCTGTCCGTCGACGTCGAGTTCCTCGTTGGATCTCATGTGGAAGAAACGAAGATTCTGCTCGCTCTCCGCTCGACCTTCCATAACACACCGAGTTGTCCCAACCCCCCCGCCTCCACCTCGTTGCGCTCCCGATTCACAAGCAGAAAAACATTCCACCTACACCCCTTTGCCGTGTTAGATGGCAGATGGTGCATTCCGGTTCCATCAGCCTGGAGCCGGGCAGTATTACCCCACCCAACACACTTCGCATCGGAACCAGAATCGAGCCTCCTCGCCTTCCGGCGGACGAAGACCTTTCACCAACGACACTCCCTCCCCATCGAGATCGCCCGTGGGCCATTCTGTCGCACACAACTTCAATATGTATTCCCAGAATGGGTACCAGACGCAGCACAGTCTCATGAACGGGGCGCAAACACATCAGCGTTACGCGAATCTTCACTTGCCAAAGTACCAGCCACCCCATCACGGTCATCACAACGTCACTCAACATCACGGTCAGCACCATCACGCCGGACAATTAGGACACCAGCACAATCTTTCAGGTGGCTTCCCATCTGGAACCCCTCATTTGCCCACCTACGCGCACGAGCACCTCTCTAACGGAAATGGTAATGGACTACCGCATGACGATGCGGACGAGCCGGACAATGAATATTGGAGGGAACAAAAGCAGTTTTGGGAAGAAAGCAAAGATCTCAACGGCCCAAACCAACGAGCACGCACTGTTGCGCATCACTCCAAAGGCGTTAATTATGTCCCGTTAGGCGCGGCTGCAGAAGACCTCCCGACAGATACAGCGCGGGCAATCACATCAAATGGACAGTCTTCTAGCAGGCAAACCTGGGATGAGCTGGATCTAGGTGGGCAGGGTCTTTGCGCGCTGTCACCCGTGCTATTCAATCCGTCCTACCATTTTTTGAAACGCCTCGACCTTGTATATAATCAACTAGAAACCCTGCCACCGGAGATTGGACAATTAAAGAACCTCGAGCATCTGGATGTCTCTTTTAATCAACTGACAGAATTGCCTGAAGAGATTGGCATGCTTACGAACCTCAAGCAACTCCTCCTGTTCAATAACCATATTCAAACCCTGTGTTACGAACTCGGTTTCTTATACAAACTCGAGGTGCTGGGCATCTATGGAAATCCACTGGAGCAAGGGCAGCGCGACAAGATTACGGAGGGCGGTACGAGGAAATTGATTGAATATCTCCGTGAAAGCATGCCAGGTTTGTTTCGCATCTTTGCTTTCCATGTTTTGCCGCTAATATTGTGTTAGAACCTCCGCCTCCCCGGGAAAGAGAGTGGCACCAAATCGAGGAAATCGACGAAGCTGACCCAACCCAGGACACAGTCAAGGTGCTGAATTACAACATTCTGTGCGACCGCTACGCGACGCAGCAGCAGTATGGCTACGTTCCGGAGCGCGTCCTGACTTGGGGCTTCCGCAAGACTCTGATCTTGGAAGAGATTCGGGAAATGAACGCCGACATTGTCTGCCTCCAGGAACTGGACCGGTGCAGCTACGACGATTATTTCCGAGGCGAACTATCCATATCGGGCTACAAGGGATATTATGCACAGAAAAGCCGTGCCGAGACGCTGGGTGACGCTGCTAAATTTGTCGATGGATGCGGCACCTTCTGGAAAGACAAGAAATACATGGTGCTGGACACGCAACATCTTGTCCTCGGCCGAAAAGCGGTGGAACGACCTGGCGCCAAAGCATCCGCGGACATGCTGAATCGGGTGTGGCAGAGAGATGACATTGCGACAGTTGTGTTTTTGGAAAACCGTGTCACGGGCTCTCGCGTGGTTGTCGTCAATGCTCACATCTACTGGGATCCCGCGTTCAAAGATGTGAAACTGATCCAAGCGGCTGTCCTCATGGAAGAATTGTCCAAGCTCACAGACAAGTACGCCAAATTTCCACCTGCGACCAACAAGCAGGCCTTCCGGTTCTCTGATTCAGAGGACGATCCGCTACCGGACCCTGGACCGTCATTGTCATATACCTCTGGTCCCCAGATCCCGATGATAATCTGTGGAGACTTCAACTCGGGTGCAGGATCTGCCGTCTATGATCTTTTCACAAAGAAAGGGCTGAATGCCGAGCACGCCGATTTGGACGGCCGAGATTATGGTGCTTTCTCCCGTGCAGGTATGTCACACAATTTTACGCTCAAGTCTTCATATGCCGCCATTGATGGGGAGATGCCTTTCACGAATTACACGCCAAACTTTGTCGACGTCTTGGACTACATCTGGTACTCGAGCAACTCTTTACGCGTGGTTGGATTGCTCGGGGCCATCGACCCGGAATATCTTAAGCGGGTGCCGGGCTTCCCAAATTTCCACTTCCCGAGTGATCACATCGCGATCGTGGCCCAGTTCAAGGTGGAGAAGCAGCGGAGTGCCCAGAAAGCGGTGGAGGCCGACTTTGGACCCTCGTCGAAGAAGTAGAGGTTCATTCCGACACGGTCCAGTGGATTTGCGAGGGTGTTTCGCTTCGGTTGAGGTCTACGTTGGCTGTGAACGGAAAGGGGTCTGGACGTCATGTGAAGCAGGAATCTTTTTCGGGGAATAGGGGTGAATCTCGTACATGGGAGGAGGTCAAGGGGGGGTGGCGGGCGATGGACGGTGTGGAGGTAAATGGCGTGTGACACATTGACACATTGGTCGACAAAGGTTCCGAGCTGGAGTTTTGTGTGAGATATGTGTGTGGGTTTTCGGGGTCTCTCTGCTTTTGCATGGCATCTATGCAAACTTTTGTCTCGAGTCGTTGGACATGGATGGGAACCCAAATATTACGCCGCGCGCTGCCTTAACGCGCGATGGAGGGGAATGACAATTACAAGTTTGCATTTTCGATGTTTGTGGCGTGACACAACGCGTCCCGAATGAACACCACCGACTCAAGGCTGACGAGGCTGACGAGGCTGCGCACCAATACCTCGTAGGTACTCGGTACTCATTACGAACTGCAGGATCGAGCAACCGCAGCCCAATCTGTCTATCTGTCTGTAGTCACGTGGCTGCGTTGGGAAATCTCCTGCCCTGCATGCCTGCCTGGCTGCCAGGTTACCTACTCATGATCGGTGAGTAGGTAGGTGTGTGAAGGAGTGGTCGATTGAAGACGCCTGCTTTGACCAAAAGGGATAGTCCAGGAGGAGTACTTGCTAGACAAATATATTGGCACGTACATATATATATATAACAGTTGTGGGACCAGGAACACAAACTTCGAATCCCAAGAAATAGTATATGCAAAGGGTATCGGTTGAGAATATACATAGCATAGCATAGCATAGCATAGCATAGCATAGCATAGCATAGTAGACACAGGTGAGGGGGCTTCCCTGAGGAATATCATGTTTTATTCTGAAGAAGAGCAAGCTACCACACACAGTATGCTCCATCTGTGAATAGACCCTCCCTCGAACACAACGACGAGGGTGGCTTCTTTTTCGTGGCTCGGTTTCGAGCATGGCTCTTCTGAGTGAGGTATGCTCTCGCACTACCGAGTTTGCATCCGTTGCAGAAGCAGTGTCCCATACATGAGAGCTGTGACATGGAATTCCCTTCAGCCACGCCAGAAGGTATGCATGCAGCGCTTTCCTCTTGCACCCCCCCTCCTCCTTCCCCCTGCGGGCGGTAACCCCAACATGTCGATTTTGGGTGGGTAATACAAGTTGGGATGACCCGAAGCCCGCAACGACTTTCCGAACAGCTCAGGACGATCTCAGGCGTTATTTCGTGGCCACCGTAGAGCAACATGCCTATTTACCGTGTGCCATCCATCATCATCCTCGATGCACCTCGGAGAACAAGGCGTCGTTGTCTCCGGACATGATTCACATCCTGTCAATGTAGTCGACTTTGCGCGGGTTGACCAGAATCATTGGTGAAGAGTGAGGCTCACGGGCCAGTTGGTCTGGTTCGGACAGAGTGCGGCGAGGGCGGAGTGGTTATGAGCGAGCCGTCCGTTGGGCCACCAAAGCCAGACGCCCGACGAAGGGTCTCTCTTCTGGGGTTGGAATCTCAATAACGGCCAATACGGCCGTGACACAATCTTCATAGCCTTCATCTCTTGAACCCAAACTCCTTTCTCTCCCTCTCCTCCTCGGCCCTTCTCCGCTGAGACTCTCGGAAATCCTGAAGTTTTCGTTCCAGCGCCGTCTTTTGGCCCAAGAGCTGGGCTCGCTTTGCCTCCAACGTGTCGAGGGATCCGTAGTACATCTTGTTGTCGCTCACCACGGCGATGACGGGCTCAGCTGTATTCCCTTGTTGGGCTATTTCTTCGTCCGTGGTCAAGGATTTCTGCGCCTGCTGGACGAGGACAGAAGCCGTATTAGCATTTCAGTGACGCTTGTGAATCTCCGAGTTGTACATGGAGAATGGAGACATGAGGAGGCATCTAGCATACCTTTCTTGCAGCCTCTTGTTGTCTACTAGTCTTCAGGATCGCGCCGATAAACGCCCCCGATGCGACTATACCGGCGATGCCGATTGCGTAGACCAGAGGTCGAATCTTTCGACTGCCAGCAGGCACATGTGCGGAGGTATTTTGAACGGGTCTCGTAGATGTTCTCGCAGGACGGGGTGGAAGGGACGGGGACATTATCAGTCTGTTGTCGGTAGAGGAGCCATACAGCCCCCTGGTGTCCTCTCTCTCACACACTGATGGGGGACGTAGGTGTCGATGCTCAACTACTGGGCGATAGGTGGGTGAGGTGGAATGGGCAGCAAGCCCAGCCGGTTTGGAGAGTCCGCCAGTAATATTAAAGCAGCGAGGCGCAACTCTGGTCTTCTCCGCCCGCCTTGTGCAATAATGCATTCAAACGCGTTGCCTAACTAACTCATTCTCCAACGCTTCATCGATCCTTTGTCGTTGACACAACGCCCACAGCTTTCCCGCCCTGTCCCGCTTGAACATGCGACCGCAGCAGTCTTCATAAAATATAAAAAAAACACCCAGGGTCGGATTCAGCCAAACCATGGCAGACGAGCCGGGCTCCCTAAACTGGCGCCTCAGTGCCCATCCCATCACACTTCTAACATATCTAGGCTTCCGAATAGGTAAGTCTACATTACCACAATATTGCAGCCATTTTATGCTAGCAAAACAACGCAATCAAAGAAGAGAGAGGCCTCGCTAATACTCGGGCGCAGGAAGTCTCCTCATGTACCTCTTCGGCGTGCTCTTCATCCGCAACTTCGTCCTCGTCTTCATCCTCACCCTCCTCCTCCTGTCCATCGACTTTTACTACCTCAAGAACATCGCCGGCCGTCGCCTCGTGGGCCTTCGCTGGTGGAACGAGGTCAACACCTCCACGGGCGACTCGCACTGGGTGTTTGAATCGGCGGCGGGCACGGGCAGGACGGAGAACAAGACGGACAAGCGGTTCTTCTGGTTGAGCATGTATACCGTGCCGGCGTTGTGGGTCGGCCTCGCGATTCTGGCGTTGGTGAGGCTGCAAAATCTCATCTGGCTGGTGACGGTTGGTGAGTTTTAACTCCTCATGCGAGGCCTCTCGAGTTTTCAGCGCTGGAGTGCTCAAACGTTGAACGTTTCTTTATGCATCTTGGAGTAAAATACTAATCTGGATGGACAGTGATTGCATTGGTCCTCACCATCACCAACACCGTCGCATTCTCGCGCTGCGACAAGTTTAGCCAGGCCTCGAGTTTCGCCGGGTCGGCTCTCTCGGGCTCTGGACTGGCCAGGAGTCTCGCGAGTAACGTGATGGGAAGGTTTTTCAAGTGAAACGGAACTGGGAGGTTACATTGTACGATATGGCGAACACGGCGCTCTTGATCGGGAATGGGGACTGAGACTTTTTTGGGGGGAGAGAATGGATTACGACGATACCAGCAAGTCAAAAGGCTGGCGCGCTGGCGCTGGGACTGGAACTGGCACTGCTATACGTTGGGCGCACCCAGAATATCTCAATGGAGAAAGACTCCGTTGAGTGCGCGGGTCTGGAGACATTCGTCACGCAGGAACAGGCAGCCGGGCTATACAGCGTGAAAATTCAATCCTGCATCCATCCGCATAGACAACCTCTGAAAAATATTGTTCAAAAAGACCCACGCCAGGATCGGATACCCAAGGGCGGAGCTTGAGACTCAACCCAACCCTTACTACTTAGTAGCTGGGTAGTAACGCCTTACATACTCGCTCTTGCTAGACCCATACACTCGGACGGAGTACTCGGCACAGCTCCCGAAACAGGTCCATGGACTCTCCCAGAAACCATTGATGGACTTCTTTCCCACCCGGAAATGAAAGGCGACATATCGACCCGAGAGTAGTGGTGGTTTATTCACTAATCACGCTCTGATTTGTGGGTTGAATATAGATATGTATTCTCTGGAAAGTCTAGCCAGACAGAACCGGATAGCCTCTGCCTGGCCCCTTTTTGTTGGTTCCCCAATGTCGACACGACTGCCAACAGCCCTTTTTTCACTCCCCTTTCCTCTCATGCTCCCTCAGCAGCCTCGTCTCCATTTCTTCAAAACCTTTCAGTGCGCTGCTATACTTCTCCCACACAGGGGCGTTGTAACCATCCGCAATCTTCTCGACAAACTCGTCCTCGCGCCACCTCTTGCCGATCAACTCCTCAAACGTCTCGCCCTGTGTTCGCTCCACCGCCCAGACTGCCTTGTATGCAGCGCCCAAGGCACACGCGTTCTCGCCGACGTCGAGCTTGAAGACACCTTCGGAGCCGCCGAGCACCTCACCCGCAACGCGGGCGATGGCCTTGTTGCGTGACCCGCCACCTACCAGATAGATCCGGCGTGGCTGCGGCGGCAGATCCTTTGCCGGGCTCGAGACGAGTTCCCTAGAGCGGAGCCGGAGAGAGAGGAACTGACTTTCCACAATGACCCTGGCGTCTTGTTCTGGGGGCTGTGGTACAGATTTCTCAGGGCTGAGCTCATCGGTCTGGGGCTTGTATGAAAAATGCCACTCTCCAACCGGTAGGTTAGGAATGATTTCAGGACGGGGGAAGTATAGACCTAAATGCATGGGGTCTTTCTCATCCGATTGAGCGAGGGGTGGCGTATCAAGCAGCTGTTTGTCGAACTCTGTCCACGAGTTCTTCTCGCCAACTCCAAGCTTTTCATTGATCGCGTCGCGAACCTTCTCTCTCGCCAGACCGCCATTTTTATAGCACAACATAAACATATACAACCCGGGCGTAGTCGGATGGTTGAAGAAATGCGTGCTCGGATCTGGTTTATACTCGGTAGTGGACATCAAAAAAGTGGTACTTGTCCCCAAACTGACCATGGCATCGTTGCTGCGCAGCGGCAAGGCAAGGATTGTGGAAGGGTTGTCACCGGTCGAGGCGATAATGGTGCACTCAGCCGAAAAGCCATGTCGCTTAACAAAGTAGGGAGAGACGGTGCCCAAGTGGATGCCGCCGTCTTGAGGCACATCGCCCAGTTTCTTCTTCAACGCCTCCACGCCAGAGGGTCCCGCAGCAAGTTCCAACAGTTTCTCATTCCAATTACCGGCTTTGATATCCCATAGATTCATGCCGCAGACATCTGAGATGTCAAAGGGTGCATATTTTCCGAGGAAGATGGTAGCGATCCAAGATGACACCAGGGTGATCCGGTAGGTCTTGATATATTTATCTGGGTATTTACGTTGAAATCGTAGAATTTGCGGCCCGGTGAAGCGATGGTGCGCTTTGCTGCCCGTTACATTTGCTAGTTGCGACTCGTTGCCTAGAACGGCGTCAAACTCGTCACATTCCTTCTGCGTGCTTGCATCCTGCCAGTTGGGACTGAACGGATGGGCGAACGCTCCGTCAAGCTGGGCCTCCAGTGTTCTTGAAGGATCGAGCTGGGACAGCAGTTGTTCCGCATCGGCATTCCAGAAAACACTCCCATGCTGCATGCCTGAACCGCTAACCCCCCTGATACGACTGAAGTCGAGGCCACCATCCTTCAGACGAGCCAAGAGTGTGTCAATGGCCTGCAGCCACATTGCCACTGGTGCAAAGACTTCATGCTCGGCTTCGTTCACAAGAACACCCTTATTTACATTGAAACCTTGAGAATCGGCGTCAAAGTCGAACTTGGCCTCATGGACCTTTTTCAAACTGGAGTCGACTACCAAGCCTTTCAATTGCTGGGTGGATAGATCGAAGCCGAGATATAGAGGGCCGGTAGAGGTCATGGTATGGATCCCGACCAGACAGTTGACTCGGATGCTCAATAGGTGGTGTTTTATCTACCATCCGTCAAGCATAATAGATACTCACACCTTCAGGAACAAAAGAAATTCTCCCCAAATGATGAAAGTAGAGGTGGAGTAAATGCACGTCGGATGGTGAGGGGGAGCAACATTTCTGACGGGTTTCTTGGCGCAATGATATCAGCCTGATATCACCGGCTGTAAAATTCCGCGGTGCATTGGAATCGGCCTCCCTGATGGAACCACGCAAGGCTTCCACAATGGTTCAGGTATCTTTTTTTCTTTGGCTCGAGGTGATTGCATGGCCATTTGCGTGGCCATTTGCGTGTTCGTGGCCATGGTCATGTCCTCGCCCTTCTCCATGATGATGATGGTCATGTTCATCGCGCTCATCCTCGGGCTCGGGACTGCTTCTTGGGCTCACGTCCGTGACAATGAAATCACCTGCGAGCGTGGCACTCGCATCGTCCAACTGGACGAATTTGACGCGAACTCGTCTCACTCCGCGTATCTTCGAGCCACATCTTTCTCGGACAGCGTCTTCAATCTGCTCCATCTGCTCCAGGGTGAGGTCCTTGGGTACCCCGAGTTCAATGTCTATCAGATAATTCTGACCAGATTTGACGCCTTGTATATCTCTGATCTCGGTCTCATTCCCGAACTTGACAGGCTCAATGCCATTTGCAGCATCGCCTTTGAGAGCTCTGGATGCGGCTCTACGGACTAGGCCCTTGATCTCATCATCCACGGTGACATCTGCGAGCTCGAGGAGAGCGGTTTTTGTGTTGTTCCAGCCTGCTCTTATTACCATGGCAGAAATGATCAGCCCGCCCACAGGGTCTAGCCACGAGGCGTCCGAAAAGACATGTGCACCCCCAATCGTAGCCAGGGCCACAATGCTGGTCAATGAATCTATACGGTGATGGACCGCATTGGAGGCTAAAACGGAGGATTTGCGTTCTCGGGCAATCTTCATAGCTGGAGGAGGAGATTAGCAGGGGGCGCGTAGAGGAACGAGGTTCACATGCTGAGACTTACTAGCTCGGTATAACCATTCCTTCACCACGATAGAGCCTGCCGCAAGCCAAGCGGCGTTGAGATCAGGTAATATGGGACCATGGCTATGGCTATGTCCTAGAAAGGAGAACAAGCCACCACCAGCATGTTCAGCGTGGTCATGAGCGTGGGCCACAACCGCAGGATCGAGCATCAACTGTGTGTAAAGGGCATCCAGCCCATTCAACCCAATACCCACACCTCCGAACAGTAACAGTCCGCTCACTCCCAAAGCACCTAAGCTCTCAATCTTACCATAACCACTAGGAAATCGATTCGTGGCGGGTTTGAGGGACCAAGAGATGGTGGCGAGGGTCATGAAGTCGGAGACCAGGTCGGTGAGAGCGTGGAAGCCGTCGGCAATCAGAGCTTGAGAGTGGAAGACAACGCCCCCTACACCCTTCCCAATGGCCATGCCCAGGTTGACGAACAGCCCAATCCTTGTGATCTTGACGCCAGCATCGTTCTTGTTCTGCGAGGTCAGGTAGGTGGTGTCGTGTGCGTGTGCGTGGCCGTGGTGCGAGTGTCCCGTATGACCTCTCGACTGCTGCTGGGTGTTCGATCGCGTCATTGACATGCGTGAGGCAAGAGGATTGACGGACGGGAGGCGATTGAGGAGAGGGAAGGACATTCTCGAAAGATGCCGGCAAGCATGCAATCTGTTGTTAATATAGGACGAGTGGCTGGAGGCTCTGCATCCTCGAGTCCGAAACAGGATTTGACCAGAGTTGGTAATGCTGAGGCAGGCCCGTTGACAAGAGGACATGTGTCGCGTTTCAGCGCGGAACAAGTGCGTCAGCGGCATTTGGGGGGAAAAGGAGGAGCTGCCGGGCGTTGCTGGTGACGTGCAGCTCGTAAACGCAGGGGGGAGGAAGGGAGGTGGGAAACAAGGGAAAATTGTCAATTTGACTCTTCTGGACTCGTTCAACCCATGCTGCTGTCTGGTGCTATTATGAGGGCATAAGGGCGAGAAGGGCTTAGCAAGCCTGCATAGAGAGAAGGAAAAAAAAATACTCGTACAATTATTTGGACAGAACGAATTGTGTAGGACCGAGGAGCACGCAATTGGACGCGTCGCAGTTGGTCCACAGCAGGATTTCAGGTTCGAAGGGATTTCTAGATGATGTATTTGTACCTCGTACTTGCATGTACTTTGAGCCTCGCACCGATCAATTAATTAGGACTATTATTGCATCCATGCATCCTTGTTATTCCTTTGCCCGACGGTCCCCGGAAAATGACGGGCCTCCCTCATTCCCACTATTTCCCTGTCCCCAGATTACCGAGAACCTATCCAGCGTTCACAGGCGTAGTTACCTGATTCTTCTCATGGTGTCCTCGACATTCATATCCCGGAGTATCCAATGTGATCAGACAAAGGAACAGGGAACACTACCTCCGACAACGCAGCCATCCTTGCCGATCACTCATGTCCAGTGGCCCGAGGTTCGCTCGTGATCAATCACACAAGAATGTTTTTTTGAAGGTTCCCGAGAATTCGGCAACTTGTGTTGTGGGACTGAAGCGCCGTCATCCATCATACCGACACTTGTGGTTGGACGAGGCGTTGAAATAAGACTCCAGGTACAAACGTTACCATACACTAAGGTCCCAATTCCCCAAGGCTTCCTTCCTCCAGGGGGGTCGACAACCATTTGGATTTGGCGCAGCGAGTGGGTTGTATATTTCAACACACACAAGTTTCGGAGCAATAGTCATGGTATTCTTACTCCCTACCTTGGTCGCCCGGCAGTCGATATATGGTCAACTGCGAAGCACCAACCGGCCCAACGGGAAGAACATGATATAGAAAAGCCCGGAAGGGGTCAACTGAAAAGGCCTGGCGCTTGCTTTTGACTCGTTGCGTCGCTTATTCTCAGAGATCAAATCTCCATCGCTGTGCGGTCCGTGCCATGTCTCATATTACTTTTACTACCGAAAGGTTTCAACTAGTGAGAGGCCCGGGAGGTTTCCAATTCAAGAAGGAGGCTCGGCTATCGATTTCCGACTTGTTTCTGGCACCCAGTCCCTGCTGTAAATAACATGCAATAATACATACCTAGGTAAATACCAAGGTGTCAAGCAAACTCGTTAAGCTGGAACAGAGACACACAGACAAGGACATCTCTTCTCTGAGCTGACCCGATCTTGACCTCGACTTGGTGCTCGTACGCAATAACAAATGCATGTGTCTTTTTTGGGCCATATCGTCAACCACGTTGGCCATGCCACAATCTTCTTTATCGAAACTCCGAAACTGCTCATTGAGGTACGTCCAGTAGCTCAAACAATCCTTGGATGCCCCTGTGGACAGTTCTTTTATGTCTATCAATCAACCCTCCAGCTTCAACCTCTCCAAATCCTTGACGGCCTCCTCCAATCGCTTCACTTCGCTTTCGGCGTCCTGAAGTTTCTCCTCCTCCTTTCTCTTTGTATCCTTACTCGCCTTCTCCCACCCGGCTCCGCTCATGATCTTCTTGCTCTTGTCCGCTCGGGATTTGGCATCCTCAATGCTCTTGTGGCGCTTCTTCAACTCCTCCGCCACATCAATCCGTCCCGCAATCTTGAGATACACGGCGGCGTCCGCGTTGATGCTCTGCAGAGCACACCCAGCAGGCGGAAGGGAGTTCGTGGCTGGTGGCAGGACTTCAATCTTGCCAGCGTACTTGCCGCCTAGAGATTTGATGGACGTTTGTTCCTCCGATACGGTCTTGAAAGCCGAGTCCGAATAAGTTTGGATGATCACATCTCCGGGTTCCTTGAAGGCGTATTGCGAAAGCAGGCTTCGAATCCCCGACGCAATGTCCATGATAAACTCATACTTCTGAGCGTCTTGAGGAGCATCCAGTTTCTCGTTGAACTCGGGATACTTCGCGATCATGATACTCTCGGTGCTGTCACCTTTCCGACGTGGGAGCTTCTGCCACAAATGCTCTGTCAGGAACGGCATAATCGGATGCATCAGCAGCAAGCCGCCCTCAAGTGCTGTGTACAAGGTTTGCTGAGCCGACCTTCTTTCATCCTCAGGAGCCTCGGGCGTAAGGATATATTTCGAGTTCTCGATGAATGTGTCACAGAGCTGCGTGAACCAGTATTGGTACAGGGTGCCCGCAGCCACCGAGAACTCTCGTCCCTCGATGGCATCATTGACATCCTTCGCAGCCACGTTGAGTCTGTGAAGGATCCATTTCTCTGCCAGCGATTTGGGTTTGTTGTCCGTTGGTGCTGCATCAGGGACGAAGTCTCCTCCAAGTCTTCCCAGTGCAAAATTAGTTGCTTGGTAGATCTTGTTGCAGAACCGTCGCTTTGCTTCAATCTCCCGAATATCAAAGGCCACATCGCCTCCACCAGTGGTGTAGTTCACGAGCGTAAACCGTAGGGCGTCAGCGCCGCACTCCTCGATACCCTTGGGGAAAGCTGTCTTCTGGTATGTTTTGGCTCGCTCAATCTCGGCTGGATCGAGGTTACCGGCATACAATGTCTTGTGGAGATCTTCCAGCGTGATGCCCCTGATGATATCCAGCGGGTCAATCACATTGCCCAAGGACTTGGACATCTTTCGTCCCTCCGCATCTCGAATCAACGAATGGCAGTAGACCTCTGTAAAGGGCACGTCGCCGGTCAATTTCAGACCAAACATGACCATTCTCGCCACCCAGAAGAATAGAATATCCCACCCGGTCTCTAGCATGCTAGTCGGATATAATTCCCGCATATCGGAAGTCTCCTTTGGCCAACCAAGTGTCGTAAATGGCCAAAGACCCGAGGAGAACCAGGTGTCGAGCACATCCTCATCCCATCTCAGCGTGAATTTCTTTCCAGGGAATTTCTTCTCCGCCTTGGCTCGAGCTTCATCCTCAGTCAGAGCCCCCACCCAGTAGTGGCTGTCAGCTTCGTCACTTGTCTTGTCTTCAAGCTCAACAAAATAGGCTGGTGCTCGATGACCCCACCAGAGTTGTCGAGAAATGCACCAATCCTGGATATTCTGCATCCAGAAATGGAAGCGCCGTGACTCTGATTCAGGTTTGATCAGGATTCGACCGTCCAGCACAGCATCGTCCGCCGCTTTGGCCATGTCCGCCATCTTCATCCACCACTGTGGTTTTAGGACTGGCTCAATCACGTCTTTGCTCCTCTGGCACATAGGAATCGTCATTGCGTTATCTTCCTGCTTGGTATACAGGCCGAGCTCTTTCAAGTCGTTGATCACAGCGTATCGGACGTCGAACCTTTTTTGACCCGCATAAGGCCCGGCATTCGCATTCAACGTGCCATCATCGTTGAGGATATTGATGAATTCCAGGTCGTGCTTCTTGCCCTTGGTAAAATCGTTGGGGTCGTGTGCCGGGGTGATCTTCACGGCTCCAGTACCAAAGTCCATCTCCACCTCTTCGTCTGCAATGATCACGATCTTGCGATCTGGAATAAAGGGGTGGATGGCCAGTTTGCCTACGAGGTGCTTATATCTCTTGTCGTCGGGATGCACGGCAATAGCGGTATCACCAAGCATGGTTTCCGGACGAGTTGTGGCAATCTCGATAAACTCATAGCCCTTGAAGCGGTCCGCTGAGGTCGATGAATTGTGTGAGTCGTCTCCCTTGCTGATGGGGTATTTGAAGTAAGTGAGAACACCGAATTCAATCATCTTGTCATACCCCGGCACTTTCAACTTGGTTCGCCCTTTGAGCTCCTTGTTGTCCACTTCGAGGTTTGATAACGAGGTGCAAAGAGCAGAGCACCAATTCACCAACCTGTCCGCCCTGTAAATGATACCATCCTCGAATAAGTCGACAAACGTCTTCCGCACAGCATAGGAGCGATCGTCGTCCATGGTGAAAGCCTCACGCGACCAATCCATGGAACCTCCCAGACGTTTGAGCTGGTTCGTGATGTTGGCGTGGTACTTCTCCTTCCAGCTCCAGATCCTTTCCAGCAAGGCTTCTCTGCCTAGATCGTGCCGGGTCTTGCCCTCGGTCTTGTAAACCATCTTTTCCACCACGCTTTGCGTGGCTATACCGGCGTGGTCACAGCCAGGGATCCAGGCCGTGGTTTTGCCCTTCATTCTCGCATGTCGAATCATGGTGTCTTGCAGCGCGTTCGTAAGGGCGTGACCCATATGCAGTGACCCCGTCACATTGGGAGGAGGTATCGGAATGACGAATTTGCCTTCCGGTTTGACCTTCCCTTCCTTTGTAAATTGCGGCTTGAAGTAGCCTCTGCTCTCCCACCACTCATAACGGCCAGATTCGATCTTTTGAGGTTCGTAAGCATCGGCGGCGGCAGGTTTCTTGACCTTTTCTTTCTTCGCGGATTTGGCGGCATCACCTGCGGGAGTGGGCGCGGTCTGTTTCTTTGACTGTTTCTCTTGGAACTTGGCCAGCTTTTCGGCCTTCTTACGTTCTTTCTCAACTGCGGAAGGCATGATAGTCAGACTCAATATTCTTTGCACGGAGTGGATACGAGCAGCGACGTTGTGGGTGCAACGGGTGAACTGTCATTGAGGGAAATGAGTGATATGACTACAAGACTTTGCCCGCCCTTTATAGATGCCTTCCCAGTCACAAACCATGGAACGTTTGGCAGTCCGGTTCTTGGCTTCGGGTGAGTCATCTTTTTGTCTGTGTAGTCTGCATCTTTCATATATAGATATGAGGGGGAAGGAGTTTATCAATGCGGGCCTTCAAGGTTATCTTGCATACTTTCTTTGGCAGTCTTTTCCTTGCCTGCTTCGCCCATCACCGTTTGACCTTTTTCGTTGTTTTGTAGGTCCTTCCCAGGGACATTCTGGCCCATGGCGTCTTGTGCAGCCGAGCTTTTGGCGGCAGAGGTTATCTCAGAGGACACCGGAGGTGGGGGACCAGAAGGGGAACCAGTTGGCTCGCCAGCTTGCAGACATGTCAGTGTACGTTGTAAGACTTTATCAACACTCAACATTCGACATACTTATGTTGTGGGATGCGGCATTGAGCGCCATGTTGAAACGAGAAAGCCGTCTCCAAGCAGGAGGGCGCCGAAGCAAAGATCTGATGAGTATTTTGCTCGACTGCCTTTCGGCGTGGCTGTCAATGTGTTCCTGCTTTTCAGGTCAACTCTAGGGCGACGAGGAGAAGAAATCAAGGGTCATAGATCGAGCGAGTCAAAAGAGGCTTTGCTGTAAGACTGGACAACAATTTATGGTTAATGAGAGACTTATGAGTCGCAGGTCGAACATTTGCGCCAGAATCATCATTATGGGGCTACAGACGAGCACAGGCGCAGTGACGCTGCAGGGAGACGGGGTTCCACGTGATTCGTACTTGGCCATCCACTAGGGAAGTCCTTGGCACATGCTTAAATAGCTTCTCCAGCTTCTCCTTTCTTGTCCATCGTGACAGCTTGCCAAATGCATGTATTGTCGCGAGTATCTCGTACAGCATTTAAGCCCAGAATGGTACTCGGCTTTGCGGAAGAAACCGTTGATGAGGACGAACGTACGGCGGTATAACGAAGAAACTCAATCTAAAGTTCTCTTGCTCCTGCTCACAGCATTATCCGTGTCCAGACACGGCACCCGCCCAATGGTCGCCGAATCATTGGAGCTCTGACTCGATGACAGAAAACGGGCCCCCCTTGGGAGGCCATATCTTGACAACTTTGAGGCCGACGCTCGCCAGCAGCGCAGTCCATTGCTTTTCGCTCCGTTGCATGGAGCTGAAGGTCGTGCGGCTGATGTCCGCGAGCGACTCGAAGCCGCTGCAACCTGCTGCCGGCAGGACGGTTTCACAGACGAGCAATTTCGACTGGCCCTTGACCATGCCGTGGATCTGGTTCGTCAGGATCTCGCGGCACTTGGAGTCCGGGAAGTCGTGCAGTACACGACGCATGAAGTAGATTCGCGCTCCTATGCAAACGTTAGGCTGGGGCTATTGTGAGATAAAGGAATGGCTCTTTCGAACAGGGTGTCCGGGATTTCAAACCGCACAGAGAATACATTGCAGGGTGGTGGTACTGACCATGAACAGGCTGTGGAGTGAAAAAGTCGTACTCCATGACTTCGTATTTGGGATTTCTGGCCCGTGCCTCGTCGATGATAGCGCCGAGGTCTTGGACGACGAAACGTCCTTTGAGATGAGGATTCTCTTCCATGACCTTTTGCGTAACTTGACCATGGCCTCCGCCGATATCGACCATTACGACGCCACTTTCCCCTGCCCCAGACTCGACCAGGGAGCTTGGAACAGGGCTATTAAGTAAGGTCGCAGCACCTTTCATAGCCGAGTTGAAGCGAGCAAGGCGCCCGGGATCATTGCGTAGGTACGCAAAGAAGTCAGTCCCTGTAGCATAGTGCGAAAGGGTCTTGTCCGGCTGGTCTGGGTTCTTGTAGCCCAGGTCGGCAAGGTAAGCAGGCATCTTTCCGATACAGCCCCAGCTGCTATCGAATCTAGTAATCCACAACAGGAGACATCAGTTGCCCGAACTGGCTCAATTTTGACGAAGAAGCCCGACAACAGAATGGCAAGCAAAAGAGCCAATGCATAGGATGAATGGGAAGGGGAGAAAAGAGAAACATACATGTGCTTGTTCAAGTCCGCCGTGGCCGGCATGGTTAGAGCTCGTGAAACAGGCGTCGCCGCATATGTTTCCTCCCCAAGCTCCGCGACGATATGAAAGCCCGTCAAGACCCGCATGAGGCGAACTGACAGACCATGCGTGTCAGCTGAACAACTTCTCAAGAGTCCTCACGACCCCCTTGCCGGCACGAGAATGAGACATACCTATCAAGGTCACCTCCGCTCCAGTCTTTTGTGCAAGCTCAGACGCAGTCGTAGATTGACCGAGGAGGTTAAAGAGGTCCAGCTCCAACGCGGTCCGCACCACCGCATTCAGCCAAGGCTGTTAAGATACCCAGGGTCAATGAACGAAGCCTTGAGGCGGCACAAGTTCAAAAGGATGATTTTGCACCGGAAAAAGAAATCTTTGCTCACCATGAAGGCGATCCGAGTCGCTTCCTGCGATGCATTGACCGTCTCGCTGGCAATTCGCGTCGCGGTGGAACATATCTGCTGGCGGACTTGATTGACTTTGGGCGGCTGGGTTCTCTCCTCTGGCGAGAGGGCAGAAAGCGCATCAATCGACGCATTGAGGGAGTCGCGTAAGGCGAGCAGGGCCGTAAGATTGTCTGCTGGGGCCGCCATCATTATTTGCTCGGGCCAAGTCGCCGCTTCTGTGCAGAGTCTGCTTTTATCTTCGTCGTTATGGGGCTTTTTGGCAGGTTTAAACCCAAACAAGGAGAATGAGAAGGATAGAATAGACCGACTCAGGCCAGTAAAATAGTAGTTCGTAGTGATACCTTGATTTCCACGCGGAATAATTGGCCGGGCAAAGGGGGGAGGAGAGAGGCTCGTGTAACACCAGACACGAGGAGTTTCTTGGTTTATGGGAGAAACGAGGAGATCAAGTTTACACACGATGAGAACCGAGTCTCGTCCGCCAAATCTCTTGGTATGTTGTGTACTTGCTTGTTCAAATGAAGTGGACAAAAACCTGGCATACGAGTACCGAGCACGACGAAAGATCCAAGTGGAACCAGGGGCGAGAGACACTTTTAAGAGATTCCTTTAATACGAAAGGACTCGCATACGAGCCTGAGAACTATCCTATAAACACCCTATTGCTGACCACGCCAAGGAGCGGGAAACCCCCTTATTAGGCATGAAACGCCTTCCTGAGATGGATGGACGGATTGCAACAGCAAGAAATGTGTGGCGTCGGCGAACGTCCACTCCTACAGGACATCAAGATTCATTCGGTAGGCTGCAGCACGTACGTCTGAAAGACAGAGAGGGCTGGACTCAGAATCTGGAACCGTTCTCACGGATGCTTCTTGTCGGGGTCAGCAGAGGTTTGACGTTGATTCCGCCCTGGAGGGAGTTGGCCCCCCATGTGGCGTATCAACATCGACATTAGCAGAAAGACAAGACATATACCGTCTCTGGGTATTCTAAGGACTAATGCAGGTCAGCGGAATCCCACGCCAAGAGAGTGTAAAGAAACTCTCCCGCCCCCGTATCTGGCCCCCTGACACCATGCCATTTCGAGAGAGTATCGGTTACCGAGGCTGTGCATCTCAAGTTTGGCTTTTTGGGTACCAGGTACCTCGAAGAATTCAAAACGCGTCAGAAAGACCAAATGGGTGCGAAGTGATGCTGATGCTGCCAGGCTCTGCCAGGGGTATGTTAGGACTTGGGGTGATTTCTTCGATCTGGAATACATCCAAGTACCTACCTACCTAGGTAGGTACTCTGGTCGCCCCATTTCTTGTACCGAACGAGTAAGGTTCGGTTGCTCAGTGCTAAAGCCTAACTCGTATTCTTCCAGGCGTCCATGTCATCTTTGCAAGAGTCACATAAGTCAACGGGTTCAACTGACTGCCACCCTGCCCAGATTTGATCAGTATAGGTACCATACCAGCACTGGAATTGCCAGTGGAGGCTGAAAACACGCAACAACGAGCTCCGTTCCCGAAAGGGGCTGTCCTCTGCTGCTGGAGGAATAATTCCTTGAATGACGCCTGCTGGGGGCTCTGTCACTCGAAGACATTTGTGGATATCCAAAAGTCCAAGCAGGTGTATGCAGTGTAAAATGGAGATAAGGCATGTCCGTGCCTTGCATTTGATCGTGGACTTGGCCTGGTCGGAAAGAAGTAGACGGTGCATTTCAGAGTTCCTCGAAATCCCATTTGGCAGAGATCCTGACAGGATAGCGACCGCAGCTGGACAGTTTGAGAGGCGTTGTTGTTGGCCTGGAAGCCAATTGCAGTGAGGACTGAGAGCCATGTGTCTCAAAGTCTAGTGTTCTAATATCCAGTCTCGTGTTCGTGTCTCGTGTTTCCAAGCATCTTCAGCATTCGCTCCAATATCGCCCAGCGTGGTAGTGGCAAAGTGCTCTTTAGTTCTTTCGGATATCTCCCTGCCCAACCTAGAGAGTCAGACAGTCAGACACTGTGGTTGTATATGTGTTGACCGAGCAAGAGTAGAATTGCATCGATCACAGAACACTCTATCTTGAGCTGTGGCCAGTCTCAACATCCTTGGCGCAACATCCAACAGAAATCGCCAAGTCGAAGGAGGCCGCCGCCATCAACGAAGCCGGTTAGGGCACAACAAGTCAATGCCACACACGCACACAAAATCAATCGCCCTTTTCAGAATCCAGGTCCCCAGAAAATGCAAAAAAACTTTTTCCACCAGCCCCTTTCGAAGGGGGTGGTGGGAAGTTAAACCCGCCGTGGCAGGTTTTTCCGTTATTGAGATATATTGACTCCTTTTTGGCCCGGTGCCAGGTTCCTGATATATCTTCTCGCTCGGTCGGAGGAGGAGGATGAAGAGGGAGGTTGGAGGATCGCCTACTAGAACCAAATTCCACCTTGTTGACTTCGTTAAGTCTCTTTCTCACTTTTTTTGGTTTTGTTGACTCTGTAAGTCTCTTTCCTGAGTAGGGGTCTTTGCGATTGTGGAAGAATTTCAGTGACTTTAAACTGTATAGTGGGGATTTTCTGGTGTCACATGTGACTTCTGTAGTTGTGGTTTTTCACATGAGACTGTTGCCCTTTGGTGTGTGCATACTGTCACCAAATAGTCGCGACTCAACGTCGCTTTCAATACAAGGCATCCAAGCATGCTCATGGCGTTCAAAAGCAATCCGGAACAGGACCACAAGGTCACGAGCATCCTGAGTACTCTATTCACGCTTGGGTAATCCTCAAGAATGCTGACAGACTTACTGTTTTCTACGAATGTACCGTAGATATGGAAGGGAGCAATCGGGTAGCGGAAGATGGCATAGCAACGAATGTCAAAGCAGGCCAGAATACCAGAGAAAAGACATGATCTTACAAGGTTCAGGATGCAGAGCTGACTGATGTATTGAGCAGTTCTATTTGACCAAGTCTCGACTGCTGGAAGGAACCCAGCAAGGACCAAAGAATGCAACGTGTATGTACAGCCGAAGAAGTAGAATATTATGTATGTTGTCCATGCAGCCTCGTCATTAGCGCCTTGGCATCCATCACATCAACACATCAATAAGTCGAAACGCCAGGCTTTCATTCCAGCGGCTGTCGTCAAGTTGGAAGTGCAGCGTCGCCAGCTGGAGTTCCAGAAAAGTTGATCTCAGAGCGAGTATGATTCACAAGGAGGCCATCCGGGCTTGCTCAGGAAAACCTGTCAAAAATGTGGCCACAATAGTAGCGTAGGGTTATATGAGAGACTCGCAAGGCGGACGGAGTGCTCCGTAATCAGTATCTGGGTTGTCTTTGACCTCGACCAACAGATGTGAAGTTTGATGCAGGTTCCTGGAAGGCTCAACAATGCCAGAAGGCAAGATCCGAGATTCGTCGACCCTCAGGACCTTACTCGAGGGCGAGGTCGAGAGTAGTCCTGTATCTCTTCCCAGAGATACCTCAAACAAATCTAGTCCAAGGACCTTTCGATAATCGACAGTGAAGTATCTCGGCTCACAATGTTGATCAGAGGGCCTTTTAGAGGCAATCCAACTAAACCTGCTGAAGACCTGGATTACAGACAAAGTGAACAATCTTGTGGAGACAGGGATCTGTAGCGAAATCACAGAGATAGAGAGATACAACATTGGAAAAGGCGTAGAAGTATGGGATAGGCCGGGGCCAGCTGTCACGACAACTTCTGGTCGCGAGACTTGGCCAGAATCACAACATTGCAACATCTCCCCCAGAACCGAAGGATACCAAGCTGAAGGACGATGGGGGTCAGCCTTCTTGCAGCTTCACCAGACGAATAGTAGAGCCGCAAAAGGTTTAGGGGACGATATTGTTACGAAAATGTATTACGCTACCGTGTCAAAAGTGAGTTGAGTTCCTGACTTCCTTGCAACACAAGCCCCTTTCCACAGCTCCTCGTTCCTCATTCCTCGTTTCCTCGTTCCTCTCTCCGAGAAGATATTTTCGCAGACTTCATTCATCTCCTCGTACCGGCCTTCACTCGTCTTCAAAATCCACATGTTTGAGCCTATTTCTTGAACAGAACCTTGTTGCGCTGCCGCGGCGCTGTGAAGTTTGAATCATCGTCGTCTCTCATCACTCGTTCAGAGAAATCCCCTTGGGATGCCTCGGTCTCTTGTCCTTCATGGTGAGATCCCAGGAGATGTGTGGTTGCACCTTCTAGTCATGCTTGTCTCAAGACACATGGTTCTGGGAGTTTTGCTGCGGTTGCTGCTGCTGTTGTTGCTGTGCCGCAGCATTTCTTACTGGTGCGAAGTAGGGATGTGCCATTGCTTCCTGAGCAGTAAGTCGCTCCTAGTTAAACTCAGTCAGCGTCCAACCACAGGATAATCAACAAATTCAATGTCGCATACCTGGTGATCATATCTCAACAGCTTGTCCAGAAAGTCTATAGCTTCCGGGCTGACAAAGCGCTGATTATCTGCATTGACAAAACTCTGCCACGGCTTCTTCGGGAATCTGCTCAGTATGTCGTCGTACTGCGCGTCCAGCTCAATGTCATAGCGATCCAGATACTCAAACAAATCATCCGTACCCAGAACCTTTGCAATCTTGACTAGCTGATCCGAGTTACTGTTGCCATGAAAGAAGGGTTCCTTGCGGAAGATCATGGAGGCGAACATTGCTCCAAGTGACCACATGTCCAGCGAGTAGTCGTATTCCTGGTAGTCGACAAGCAACTCAGGCCCTTTGAAGTAGCGGGAGGCGACACGCACGTTGTACTCCGTGCCTTGGTGGTAGAATTCAGCGAGACCCCAATCGATAAGTCGAAGCTTTTGACCCCAGCATCGTCAGCATACCCAACCACAGCCCGAAACTCCGAATCACTTGTGTGGATGGGGTTTCCTCACCTTTCTTTTCGCATGATCGATCATAACGTTATGCGGCTTGACATCTCGATGCATGATCCCTTTGCTATGACAGAAATCCAGCGCCTTGAGCAACTCAAAGATATAGTAGCGCACATCGTAGTCCACGAAGCGGGGATAAAGGGTCCGAAAATCGGTGTTGTCGACGTTCTCAAAGATGAGAGAGGGCGTCTTGCTCTGACTGTCCCGGACCACGTCCAACAATGCCACGATGTTGGGACCACCGGCCAAGTTCTGAAGTATCTTGATTTCACGCTTAATTTTCTTCTTCTTGACCGGCTTGAGCACCTTGATGACGCATTTCTGGTAGTTGACAATGTTGATGCCCTCAAAGACCTCGGAGTATTTGCCGCGACCTGGTCCCCCCTCCCGTCAGTAATTCCGCCTCGTCAGATGTGTGTGTGCCTAATGACAAGCCTCACCGATTTTCTTGACGATTTCATAGTTCTCCAGAACACCCCATGAGATGGCAACCGAGTCGTAGTCCCAGTATGACCGCGGCATGTTGGCATTGACATCTGCGTAGACGCGCGCCATGGCTGCGGTGCGGTTGCGTCGGCTATAGAACGAGTAGATCGTGGGGTAGGGTCATGCGTTGGGAGGATGGAGGACGGGCAGGACAAGGCTAGAGTTGTGCGGCGAAGTCGTAAGTGACTATGGAATGTAAGGAAAAAACACGGCCAGCCACAACAAGACGACCGGTGACTGCCCAATAAGTGATTCAAGCCAATGGGCCAAAGAATGAAGATGGAGTAGTGAGTGGGTGGAATTCAGAGAACCGTAGCTGTGGCACGGAAAGCGATCTGTGCTGCGGCAAGTCTTCAGATCTGCATGCCATCCCACATCAGTCAGGGATCTGACCTTTGACTCACACTACTGGCGGATATATTTTCCCCGGCACCTCCCACTGCGCCAGCGCCAAACTCGGTCTTTTCAACATCATTTATTTCAGCACCAAAGCTTCCTAAAAACCACCGCTGAAATACTGTGGTGAAGTTCGACCAGGGCGCGGCTCAGTAACAACATGCTCGTCGTTGCTCTCAACCCGACGCAGAGTTGCGTCTCTCTCAGCCGACAATATGCCTTTCCACGACCTTAACGTGGTGTACACTCCTAATCATGTAGACCTTTCTCATACCCTCGCGTTCCACGCCGAACTGGGTTATTCAGTGGTTGCCATTGCTCTCTCCGTCACAGGCAAACTTCCACCTACACCTCAGCCCATCCCTCTATCGTCGATCACCATCCCAGCAAGTGTCAACACCATTCTCACACGACTGACACTCACAATCTCTGACGCCACGCAAAACCACCGCCTCGCCCAGTTCTCGCTGGCATACTCCTTGCTAGCCCTGCGCCCGACAACAGAGAAGACGCTCCAACTCTGCTGTGCGTCCCTCGATTGCGATCTGATCTCCCTCGACTTCTCTCAACGTCTCACCTTTCCCCTCAAGTTCAAAACCGTCTCCGGGGCACTACAGCGAGGGATCCGCTTTGAGATATGCTATTCGCCTTCTATTCAATCGGCGGGCAATAATGAGGCTAGGAGAAACTTGATCAGTGGTGCAACTGCGTTGATTCGTGCAACGAGGGGCAAGGGGATAATCCTGAGCAGCGAAGCCAAAAATGCCTTGGGAGTAAGGGGGCCTCACGATGTGGTTAATCTGGCAATGATTTGGGGGCTGGGACAAGAGAGGGGAAAAGAAGCATTGTGCGAAGAAGCCGCGAAGATTGTGAGGCTAGCGGGTATCAAAAGAACAAGTTTTCGAGGTGTAATCGATATCGTGGACGGAGGCGCAAGTTCTTCTCTTGCAGGCAAGACTGGAGTGGAAAGAAAGGAGAATAGTACTCGACACGAAGCAATCCAAAACCAAATGGCCAAAGGAAAGAAAGAGGAAACGGTCCCCAACGGACTGAAACGCAAAGCTTCCGAATCACACCTACCGACTTCCGCGGACCAGGACACACAGCCTACAGCAGAGAAGCCACTTTCGAAGCGCGAGATGAAGAGAAGGGCGAAAAAGACTCGAATGGAAAGTGGTGATGGTAGTAAAGCAGGACCCGACGACGCAGATATGGTCTGCGCCCAGGATACCACTGCGTCAAATTTTCCTATCAAACACGAGACACTTCCCGATAAGAAAGTGCCTCTCAAAAGCTAGGAGACCCGGGGCATCTGGCCTAGAGTCCAGCTTCTCCAATATACAAGAAATGAAAAGCAATAGTTCTGTCCGATCCAATGTCGTCCATGTCCTCAAAATCAAGGGGTATATTCATTCAATGCTGCGCGGTTCTTTCGTTTCTTCTGCGAGTCTATGATAACATAGTCGGTACAGGTGCTCTTCTTCCGATGCCCAGCGTATAGGCGTTCTTGAGCGTCAGGGTTGCAGGGTCGATAGTGTTGAAGGAGCCGACCGGAAACCCGCCGCTTGTCGCTGAGGCTGCCACCGCGGTTGCGGCGGATTCACTTGAAGACAAGGTTGTCGTTGATGAGGATGATGAAGGCAAGGATTTTGATGTGGTGGAAGTTTTTGAAGTTGTTGTTGTTGTTGAGGCTGAGGTCGTCGATAAAGGTGCTGCCGCCGCCGACGAGCTTGTACTGGCAGTCGAGCTCGAAGCTTCTGGCTTAGGAGCCTCCCCTGTTTTAGTAGGCTCGGCTATGTTAGACGGGACGCTGCTACTAGGGCCAGAAGGTTCCGTACCAGATGTCGTCACTGCAGAGCCTGGAGGAAATCAATGTTAACGGTATGATCTCGAATTGCCTTGTTTGGTGAGATGTAAGACTTACTCGATGAGCCTCCAAAGAAGCCGCCAGGAGAGACAGCAGCTGTCGGGGCCGCAGCTGGTGGACCACCCGCGACAGTCACACCGGTCTTGACGGCTTCAGAGGCTGGGATCGACGAAAGGCCGGGCGTAAATGACGGGTTGCTGGAGGTGAACACGGCAGCGTCGCCCATCGCCCCCCATCCCCATCCAGTAGCCTCAGGAGGTGGACTGCCAGCACCGCACCAACACCCGGGTGGAGCATTCATCCATTGAGTCACGTAGGCGGTCACGGTGCTTCCCATACAAGGGGAGACGGCCGTCACGGTGGACTGGTATCAAGTGTCAGTAATATGAAACCTGGCGCAACTTGGCGTAGTCCAGAATTCTTACCGTCTCGGTCTTTGTACTGGTCATGGCGGGCGGGCAAGTCTGGGCTGGGCAACTCTGAGGAGGGCAGCTCTGGGGTTGGACAGTGGTAGGCGCGGCTTCCCAGGAGGAATATTGATTGTTGTCCTTGCTGCCACCACCCCAGGAGCCACCTTGGCCACCCCCGTAACCACCGCCCCCGTACTGGCCTCCTTGGTTGCTCCCGTCACCACCCCAGCCAGAGCTACCATCACCACCCATGGAACCAGCCGAAACCTGTCTTCTCGTCAGCCAAGGAACACAAGACTCGGACAGGTGCAGAGGACACGTACTTGCGCCAGGCAAGCGGCCAAAAGAGAAAGAGTGAAAAAGGAGCGGACAGCCGGCATCGCGATAGAATGTGAGCTTTTTCACAAAGGAATGGCAAATAAGGGAAAGAAAATTAGATGCTGATCCAGCAACAAAGAACGAATGACTCTTTTGAGCGAGGATGAGGAAGATGGGGGATGGAGGACGAGAAGAAGGTGCGAAACTTGCGACTCTAAATGGACATTTTGAAGTCCAGCTGGAAAGGGGGATACCAACAAAGACCAAATTGAAGGGAGCTGACTGTTCTCGGTGTGATGAGCATCCGGACAGCGGCTTCAGACGACGAATGCTGCGAAGTGAACAGGGTAAGAGACAGGCGAGGAGAGGCGAAGTGGCTGCAAAGAGCGTCCATCGGGTCGCGATTGGCCCAGCGGGATCTCAAACACCATCTGCGACGTTTTCTTCTTCATCACAGTCTCGAAGTTGAGGCTCCGAGTGGCTGGGGCGTATCAGGTTGAGGGTCAATTGTAGCAGACAACGGTTGATGAGACAAAGGGGTTGTTTCAACCTGGGCGCTTGGCTTGGGAGGCGAGACGACGGGATATTCTGGGTTCTGATTGGCCAGCCTTGTCTACCTAAGCGATGCTCTAACGATCTCAGCCTTGCCGGCTCGGAGCGCCATCTCAACTCCAAACATGATCTAGATCCCTCTCTCCCCCTTACCCCTTCCGGACCTCTGCCGAATCTTCTTTACTCGTCTATCTTTGCCAGCAGACCTCGCACTCTGGCAACGAGATCTTCCACCTTGACCAGGACTCCTTCCTTTTCGGGGTCGCCCTCCGCTAGACCCATTTGCTTCACCTTCACCTCGCCTCTAGCCTGTTCATCTTCTCCGAGAATAACTGCAATCGGTGCTCCAGCCCGGTCCGCCTCTTTGAATTGCTTTTGCAGCTTTGCCTTCTGTTTCCAGAAAGTCTCTGCTCTGATACCAGCATCTCTCAGGGCAACAAGGACATCAATCCGTTCCTCAAACATTCCTCCAAAGCCAGAACCACCAAACGCCATGACATATGCATCGGTCCTGTTACGGGCAATGTAGCTGAACTTTTCTCCCTTTGCAATTCTTGCTTTCGTGATGGCAATTATCCGATCAATGCCAAAACTCACACCAACGCAGGGGATATTGGCATCAGGCCGGAATCGCTCGACGAGGTGGTCGTAGCGACCACCCGCAGCCACTGATCCCACACCCACGGATGGATCTTCGGATCTGTCATCGTCTTCAGAAATTTGCTTCTTCTTTTCCCTCCTAGGAAGACCGTTGGAGCCGCCATTGGTAGCGACAGGTGGCATAGGAGGCGCGGAGTCGGTGGCCGGAGCAGGTGTGCGGGTAGGGGCAGAGCCTTCAGTGACGACTTCATAGATGATACCAGTGTAGTAGTCAAGGCCCCGCGCCAGGGACAGATCAAAGGAGATTTTATCGAGAGCCTTCCACCTCCGAAGGTAGCGCATCAGCAGGTCCATCTCTTCAATGCCTTTTTGGGCCTTGGGATTGCTCATGAGAGCCTCGTCTTTCTGCAGCTCCTCCAGCAACTCTTTCCCTCCCTTTCTCGTGACGTACGTTTGGATTCTGTCTGCCACGGATTCTTCGAGCCCCTTTTGCTCAACCATCTCCTTCTTCACTTCCAGCCAGGGCAGCTTGTCTAGTTTGTCGACCGCGCTAGATATTGTCCTGATCTTCTCCGCCGGAACGCCGCAGACCTCGAACAGTCCGTCCAATATTCTTCGGTCATTGATCTTGATCGTGTACCTCCCGCTCCATTCCAGGGTTTCGAAGACTTTGACGATGATCGAAATCATTTCGCTGTCATTGAACATCGGAGCACTCTCGCCGGCAAAGTCAATGTCACATTGCCAGAATTCGCGCATTCGCCCCTTCGATATGGCCGGTTGATCTCTCCGATAGACTTTGCCTATTGCGTATCTCCTCCAAGTCTCAATATCTGGATTCATGGCCAGCCACCTGGCAAAAGGAACAGTCATATCATAGCGTAGTGAGAGGAGCTCGCCGCCTTGATCCTGCAGGTCGTAAATTAATTTAGAATCTTCACCATATTTTCCCTTTAAAACTTCCTGCAGCTCAAAGACTGGAGTGTCCAGCTCCAAGCCGCGATAGTTCTCAAAGACCTTCTCGATTTGCCTTCTGATGGCTTTGAGCAAGTCGATATCCTCACCAGACCAGTCACGCGTGCCCTTGGGGTTCTTCACCACTTCCTTGCTCTTCTTCTTGTCTTTCGCCATTGTGGCACAGTACCGTAGGTGATAGCGGAGACTTGAGGACGAGAACGTGGGGTAGATGCGGCGATTGAGGGACAGGCTCGTGCTACACGTTCGTAGCAGACTGCGCATGTATAGAGGTCGAGGCGAGTATTCGACTAACATATCAGAAAGTGAGGCGCAAGTAACGTAGAAATTATTGGGCGCATGATATCACGTGACCAGACGATCTGACTCATTTTACAGGCATCTAGCATCCATGCTGAGACGTAAATAGGTCTAAAGGAGCCCCTGTAGCAAGCTCTTTGGGGTCTCCTGAGCTCTATAGGGCGGAGCTCTAAGAAAAGACATATTAGACCTGAGGCATCTACCCCGGGGCAGGGCGTGAGGCGCAGCAACTAATGCATAAAGATCAGGAATATTTCTTTGGCAAGAAGCCACTGCCGACTTCGACTACATCAGAGCCCTACAACCAGCCAACATGAAGTCTGAATCACCCAAAATGTCGACTTTTTTTGCGATCCTACCACGTAGTTGAACCCGGAATATGCCCTGGACTGTAACTGCCTCTCTGCGGACTGCGCAATGCACCGCCGATAACCCCGCCAGCTGCTGGACTGCCGTTGTTCTTCCCCCTACTGCTGCCACTCCCTTTGCGACCATTCATATCGTACTCGGTGGTTGTCGGCATCGGTGGTATCGGATCGGCATCTTCAAAGTCGGCTGAGAAATTGCTCATCCCGCCAGCAGAGCGATTGGTATCCGATCTCGGTCGACGTTGGTCACCTGAAGGGAGGGTCTTGGCGTAGGCAGCGAAAGGGGAGCCTTGAACTTCGGGGATGACAGGACTGTTGGGAAATGCCTGGAAGCTGCCAAACGCATACGGACGGGCGTGTTGTGGCGGAGGCCGAGTACCAGGCAATTCGCCTTCTGGCGTGAGAGGACCGCTGTTGCTGAGCATCATTTGTCTTTGAGCCATTTCTTGCTTCTCCAGAATGTCGAGTTCGCGCAGATTGCTTTCCCACCGCAGTCTTGCGCTCCTCAAATCCCTGTCCAGATTGTAGATTTCCTGGTTGAGCTCGGCCTCTCGTTTCTGTTGTTCAGCTCCCTTGGCATTCGACTCGGCAGCTCTTCTCTCTTTCTCATTCAGTCCTTGAGCATTGGCATGGGTGATCCTATCGTGCTGTTCGGTCAGCTTAGAATTGCGGGCGATAAGCCGTTCTTTTCGCGTGACAATGGCATTCAATTCTTGGTTGACACAAGCTTTGTCATCATGCGCAGCAGAACGCGCCTTGGCCAGAGCATCATTGGCTTCAGTTAGGAGCCTCTGCTGTTCATCGTGCGTTTCTTTGGCTGCAGCGTGGTCGTCATTCTCGTCATCAGGAGTGGACACTAGATTTTCGAGCGCCGCATCGAGCTCCTGAGTGGCATCCTCAGTCTGTCGTATATTTCGTTCAGCTTGCAACAGTTTTTGCCTTTGCTTGGTGTCGTCGCTGGCGGTTTTCAGTCGAGTGCTGAAGCTGTCCACTTCTTTTTCCACCTTGACTAAAGCAGTTCTGTGTTGACGCCGAACTTTAGTGAGGCGATTGCGGGCTTCATTCAATTTGGCTTCGGCTGTTGAAATCGAATTTTTCAGGGTGGTGGTAGGTGAAGAGGGCGTTGAAGACTGGCGGACCGACGAGGGAGCCATTGAAGCGGGTACATCTTTGTCCAGGAGCATTGGCGTCTTGACCATGATAGATGCGAAGCCTTCGTCCCCTTCGCAGCTGATGAATGTACATGTGTAAGTGCAATTTGGCGCAAGTCCAGATATCGTGCCCGCCCACTGAGCACCGCTTCCATCGTGGCGGGAGGAGTTCTCGAGCGGCTCTAAGGACACCGCGTGCCACTTGGCGCCATTGATGCGTACGTAGAATGGCCGGCAATCTGCTCCTTGCGCGGGTTTTTGGGTATGCTCTGATTCATAGATGTAGGTTGCTTCAAAAGAAATCGACGAAGGTTCCACATTGACAATCCAAACAAGGTCCTGGTGGGATACTTCGAACGGGCTGCCTTCCTTATTCCCAACGCTTGGAAGAGCCTTGTTGTGCTCGACCTCTCGTAAGACATGGACTTTGGTGCTGGCGAGAGCGGCCCAAAATGGCTGTCTGCTTCTAACGTGGTTCGCCTGACGCCTGCGTTTCTTCGCACTCATACCCTTACTATCTTTTCCATCTTTGAACCCTGGTGTTGGTGGCGGTTGGTAATCGACAGAGGACGACACGGCCGTGGGGACGGATCCATCTAACACCGAAGCGTCCGACACAGATCCTGCCGAGGCTTCTGTATCTATACGTTTCGATTTGGCTGTTCCTGTGGTATAGGAGGAGATGTAACGTCGGAAGCTCGCCATGACACCTTGTGCGATTATGTGTATGGCGAACAAACTTCGAAAATATGACGGTGGGCCGGGACTGTCGCCAAAATCGTGGTCCGAAGGTAGGTATTTCAGATGATCCAACAGTCCAGTCTGGGAAAGGAGGTCGACAGGAACCAGATTCGAATACAGGAATCGACGAACATCTCGGCTCCGCGCCAGGTGCAGCAGCAGCACCCCTGCCACGCAGAACGTGTTGACCCTACTGTTCTTGCCAGAACTGCCATTTCCAAGCGTAATCGCGATTTGTATCTGAGCC